AGAGTCCATGTCATCATAGATTACCGGTAACCTGTAGGTTACTTGTGAAAAATGCTAGATGAAAAAAAAATTTGGTTCATGGATCTAAATATACCTTATTAAAGGTCTGGGTGCGGGATGAATAATCTAATATAGTTAAGGTGCGGGATGACACTTTAGCCAAATAAGCTATAAGCTCCTAAATAAGCTCTGCCAAACAGAGCCCTAGTCCGCTAACGCTAACCGCTGATTGTCAAACAAGGACATTACGAGGTAGTTCTCACTTCAATTTGTTGTGTGATTTGAATACTCTCTTTGTCAACAAACCCCTCAAAGTAGTTAATATGATTGGTTTTATTAATTATATTTTTTTTTTTAATTTTTTTATGGTATTAATTGTATTATAACTTTGATATTTAATTAATAAATAGTGCACAAAAAAGATAATAGACAATGTAGTGAATATAATGAATTGATGAATTTGAATGTAAAGCATTTTTTACATTAGAGAAATATAAAGACAATATAACTAATAAAACTATTTCTCTTAATTAATTTATTGATAATGAATAATTTTTTTAATAAAGACATTATAGGAACAATATAGCGAACAAGTAAACTATTTCGCTTTTCGGCTCGCATGGTGGAACAAGACTTCCTTGCTAATCAAGTAAACCAAAATGCTTGTTACATGGAGTTCGGTTTGCCTCGTAGCTATATTTACGTAAGGTGTACCCCATTTACCGATCACCGTGCGGGGAGCCGAAGAGCCACATCTAGACGACGTAAATGGGTGGAAGAGGAATGGTGGGGTAGCCCATTGAGGTGTTGAAAAACAGGCCAAAACAGGCCGAAAGGTTAGTCTTCGTGAACGAGCGTGCTCTTGCCTTTGCGATCTGCACCATCTCTCTTCCTCGGTGGTACGCATTGGGGAGGTGGCTCCGATATGGTCCCCCTTTGCTGCGCATGTGTACCTACAGCTGTGATTTATTTCGTGAAGAGAAGAGAGAAGCGGGAAAGGAAAAATTGAAGTGGGAAAAACTGAATTACATTTCTTGGTGATGGTGACTGTCTAGCCAAATATATGTTGTTACAGCGGTTACAACAGTAAGGAATGGAAAATACAAAAAAAGACCCTCTGGCTTTTTACTCTATTCCTCCAATACCCGCCCCCCCCCCCGTAAGCAGGAGTATGCAAATCTTGCACTCCTAGCTTAGATACAAACATGTTGAATAAGGGTGCAGACAGAGGCTTTGTTAGACCATCTGCGATTTGATTGAGGGAAGAAACAGATAGTAATTTTATCAATCCTTGAGCAACTCTATCCCTCACCACATGGCAATCGATTTCGATATGCTTAGTCCTCTCGTGAAAAACATAGTTCTCGGAGATGGCAATGGCGGATTTGTTGTCACAAAAGACAAGTGCCGGACCTGTCATTGTAGCCTGTAGATCCTGGAGAAGGGAACTTATCCATTGCAGTTCACATGCAGTCATAGGTAGTGCTCTATATTCTGCTTCGGAAGAGGACTTGGACACCGTAGGTTGCTTCTTTGAACGCCATGAAACAAGTGATGCACCAAGGAAGATACAGAACCCGGTTACTGATTTGCGAGTCTCAGGACATGAAGCCCAGTCTGAGTCGGAGAAAGCCTTAAGGCTGAAAGGATTTGATGCTGAGTAGAACAATCCCTGGGCAAGGGATCCTTTTATGTAGCGAAGCACATGATGAGCTGCAGTCATGTGCATGTCTGTGGGAGTGCTGACAAATTGGCTGAGATGGTGAACAACATAGGTGATGTCTGGTCTGGTTGCCGTAAGGTACAAAAGCCTTCCGACCAGCCTTCGGTAGCTCCCTGGATCCTCTAGAGGTGTTCCATCCTCTCGTGATAAGCGTGATCCCGGTACCATTGGTGTACGTACTGGCTTGCACTCTAAGAAGCCAGCATCACTGAGGATGTCAAGGACGTATTTGCGCTGACAGAGATTTAAACCATCAGTACTAAGCTTTGCTTCGATTCCCAGAAAATAGCCTAGAACTCCTAGATCCTTGATTTTGAAGGCTGTATTAAGCATGTCTTTGAGTTTTTGGATAAGATCCATCTTGCTGCTGGCTACCAAGATGTCATCAATGTAGATTAATAATGCAATGAAGTTGTCATCACTGCCTCTGGTAAATAAAGAGGGGTCTGCACTAGATTGCTTGAAACCATTATTTATATGAGAAGCGGTCAGCTTTGCATTCCACTGCCGACTTGCTTGTTTCAGACCATAAAGTGATCTTGTGGGCTTGCATACTTGATTTGTTTTATCTGTTTGAAAGCCGGGGGGTCGAACCATGAAGACTTCTTCATCAAGGTCACCGTGAAGGAACGCATTGTTAATGTCCATCTGGTGAATGTGCCAACCATTTGAAACTGCCAATGCTAGGAACGTTCTGATGGTGGTTAGTCTGGCTACTGGAGAGAAGGTCTCCAAGTAATCCACCCCTAATTGCTGTGTGTATCCCTTCGCGACTAACCTAGCTTTGTAACGTTCTACTGTTCCATCGGCTTTAAGTTTAACCTTGAACACCCATTTGCAACCAATGGGTGTTTTGCCTACTGGAAGATCCATAATCTGCCAAGTATTATTTTCCTGAAGTGCATCAATCTCTGCTTTCATGGCGTTTTTCCAACAGTCATGTTTAATGGCCTGATTGTAGGTCTAGGGCTCTGTTACAGAGGAGACTGACATGGTTAGAGCTTTGTGTGTAGATGACAAGTTGTTGAAAGACACCACCTTAGATAAAACATGAGGAGAGGATCCCTGATTTACCACCAAGTCGCAGTAGTAGTCATAGAGTTTGGTAGGCATGTGTCTGTTTCTACCCGATCGTCGAAGAGGAGTGGTGTGTACTGCATTCTCAACATCATTAGTTTCCTCGATAGATACCTCTTCATGTTGTGACTGAGACTCATCTTGCAAGTGATCAGAGGGGAGTATATGAAGGGATTGGCTAGCAGAGTTGTCAATGTAAACATCATCACCATGGTTACAGTTGGCACTTGGATTATGTATTCTGCTGGCCACATCATTATATGCATTCTGCTCAAAATTCTGCTCAAAATGTCTGGCAGGTAAGCTCTCCTCTGTAGGTTGATCACTGTAATCCAAAGTCATTGAAATAGGAATGTTTGGCAAAGGGGGATTAAGCTGTTCAACAGACTGTGTAGCATCCTCAGAGAAAGGGAACTGCAGCTCATAAAACACTATATCACGAGATAAAAAAATTGATTTATCAATCAAGTCATAGAGAATATATCCTTTGACATTGGCTGGCATTCCTATAAAAATGCACTTCCGGCCTCTTGGTTCCATCTTGTTTCTCAAGTGAGGTAATGTAGAAGCATAACAAAGACACCCAAACACCTTGAGCATTGTGAGGTTTGGTTCTTTACCATATAGTTTGCACTAGGGACTAAAACCCTCAATCACTTGTGAAGGGATGCGGTTGATCAGAAACACTGCATGCATAACACAATGACTCCAAAATTCGAGAGGCAATTTTGCTTGGAATCGGAGGGATCTTGCTACGTTGAGAATATGTTGGTGTTTTCTCTCAACTACTGCGTCTTGTTGAGGAGTATTCACACACGATCTTTGATGAATGATTCCCTTACGAGTGAAGAAATCTTTCATGTCAAACTCAGGACCGTTATCACTGCGAATCATCTTGATTAAGGCTCCAAACTGTGTGAAAGCAAAATTATGAAACTGCTCTATCAACTCTCTTATTTCTGATTTCCTTTTCATCATGTGTAACCGTACCTTGAATGGTCATCAACTGGAGTTAAGAAATATCGTTCTCCTTTCAAAGAAGAAATCGGGAAAGGACCCCATATGTCAGCATGTATTAAATCAAAACAAGCAGTGGATGATGAAATGCTTAAAGGAAAAGGGGATCGTTTATGCTTGGCTAAGTGACAAACATCACAAGCTTTATTCATAGAAGATAGTTTTGGAACATCTTTGAGTACATGTAGCTTATTCATAGGGAAATGGCCTAGGCGTTGATGCCATATTTCAATCCTATTACACTGCAGAACCACATTCTTAGAGCTAGCAATAGGTTGCAATGACTGCTTCATCATCACATATAATCCCTTTTCTTGTTTAGCCAAACCAGCTATCATCCCACAAGGTTTCTGAATCATGCACTGCTCAGATGAGAAAATCAAGTTATAATGTGTATCTTTTAGCAACTTGCTCACTGAAACTAAGTTGAAGTGAAAATCTAGAATATGCACGACATTTTTCAGCAAAAGGCCATTCCCAAGTTTGACGTTCCCTCTGTGTTTTACAGTAATGCGTTTTCCAGTGGGCAAACTAACCTCATCTCCTTCAACATCAGAATAACTATCAAAGGAATTAATGGAACACGCAATATGGTCTGTAGCACCCGAATCCAATATCCAAGTAGAACTGCATAATGAGAGAAAATTAACACTAGAGATAGGGGACTTGCCTTCGTGGCTCTCATTGAATCTCGGGTTCAAAGATACGGCAGAGGCAGTGTTGGAACTAGACGGTTGTACCATCTGATTCTGGAGGGCCATCATCAGCTTCAGAAACTGGTCATTTGTGACTCCAAGATCGGAGACATTATTCACAACCGATGCTGCACCTTGTTGCTTAGCTTTGGACTTGTAGCCTGGCACCCACCCCGGAGGATAGCCATGCTTCTTATAGCATTTATCAACGGTGTGTCCGGACATACCACAAAACGTGCACTTAGGCTTGTTTCCTCCATTGCTCATGACTTTTCTGGCAGCATATGTGTTGACAGCGGCGGCCAGATCATCTACGGGGGCCTGGAAGTTCTGGACAACGTTGGCTTGGTTGATCTCCATGGTGTTCATGCTCAGACTTGCCACATTGATCTGCCTCTCCAATTTTTCAGCCATAACATAAACTTTATATACTTCAGGCAGGGGATCAAGAACTAGAACATTAGATTTTAGGCTTCCGTATTCATCATTTAGGCCTTGCAGAAAACGAATGACCTGATCGATGTCGCGTTCCTTTCGGATTTAATTGGCGAGATCGCAGGCACCCCGGGATCACATTTGCAGATCGGGAGAGGCCTCAAGGTATTCATCTCCTCCCACATCGTCCAGCATCTTGTGTAGTACTCACTTACTAACAAGGATTTTTGTCTCAGGCTGTATATTTCATTCTGCAAAGTGGAGATCCTTTGAGCATCGCATTGCGCGAATCTCTTCTTCAAGTCATCCCATACGTCTGCTGCCTTATCTAGATGCATAACACTCTGAGCGATGGATGAGTCCACGGACTTGAAGATCCACGAACACACCATCAAATTGCAGCGATACTGGCTATTCTCTCTGTTTGGTGTCGAGATGCTACCATCAACGATACACCACTTGTTTTTCACCTCCAGAGCTATCCTCATGGATATGCTCCAAGAGCTGTAGTTGGAGCTCCCTATTAGGGGAGGATTCACCAGGATTGCATTCGAACTGTCGCTTGAGCTGAAGTGAAACGGATTCTCGAAATCCTCCATCCTCTGGTGTCTCTGTGTCTGTGGAAGCGTAGTCGGAACTGCGTGAATCGGTGAGGCAGTCATCGGTGGCACTGTTTGTCCTTCCTGACTAGCCTCGCCGGAGACCGCGGCGGCGTAGGTGCTCCACTGCTGCGGCTCTGATACCATTTCGTAAAGAGAAGAGAGAAGCGGGAAAGGAAAAATTGAAGTGGGAAAAACTGAATTACATTTCTTGGTGATGGTGACTGTCTAGCCAAATATATGTTGTTACAGCGGTTACAACAGTAAGGAATGGAAAATACAATAAAGACCCTCTGGCTTTTTACTCTATTCCTCCAATAATTTAGAACAAGCATGTGTAATTAGACTAGTGCACACAATTGAGGATATTTAGACTCGAACCTGAGGAGTTGGCGCGCGTGGGAACATTCGACAGTCCAGCCGTGATATCCTCTTGTATTTGCGTTGCCAGTTCTTGTGTCAACCCTACGCTAAACCTTGGTGCATCGCACATCGCCGTTGCCCGTGACACCGCCTATTCCGGTCTGGCCCCCTTTGCTGCGCATGTAGAGGTACCTGCAACGGTGATTTAGAACAACTATGTGTATTACACTTGTGCACACAAAGTAAGTCTTAAATGGTTTTGTAGACCCACAATCGAACCTTAGCAACCATATAATGTTTTCATTTTTTATCCAACTTTTTTTATCCCCAGAATTAAAATGAGTGAATAGTAAAATGGAAGAAACATAACAGTTATATGTGCGTACTTGGTTGAGTTCTAAACATTTATGTACATAATGGAGCAGCTCAACTGATTCAAATACTGAATTATTTCATAACCAACTAAAGTCAAGACAATAAAGAATATAATTATAGGGAAGAAAAATAATAGAAAATGACCACAACAAACTGAAGAGAAAAACACCCATGTATGTAACAGTAATTGAGCATGATAAGAGTCTGATTTCATCCTCCCAACTAATAATAGGCTTTTATTGTCCCTAGACATAGTTCAACTGGTCAACTAATTCAAAATGGGTTCATAAACTTTGTTCTGCTATCAACTGCATGGTATAGTGTTCAGAACCTATAAAAGAAGATCAGGAATAATGGTGCACTATTACAGATAAGTGCACTAAAATAGTCCACAGATCAGGTTCTTACGTGGGAAATTTGATTTGTCAATATAATGTGTGTACTCTTAGCTGACTTCTAAACATTTTTGCACATAATGGAGCAGTTCAACATATTTAAATACTGAATTATTACAGTATACACATATAAGTGCTCCATTATTAATTAAGAGTGTATGCACTGGTGTCCCACTTTTCTTCCTACCTCACAAAACCCCAGTTTTCGTTTACCACGTGATTCGTATAACTGTTAAACTAATCATTCTTTGTTAAAGCTAGAACTATAATTTGTACGAGCTAAGCGTATAACCCACGATGTGTACAGGTACCCCAAAAAATAAAATTTCTCCAAATTAAATCATGTGAGGATGTTTAGACACGAACCTAAGGAGTTGGCGTGGCTAGTTCCTGTGTCAACCCAAGGCTAAAACTCGGTGTATCGCACGTCGTTGTCCGTGTCGCCGCCGCCTCCATACGGTCCAACTCCCTGAAGAATTGTGTGTTATGCCAAAGAGCATCCTCGTGGTGCACAGATGTTGGGAAAGGGGCCTGAGGTGCCTCGGGGGTGGGTTGGGGTGTGTCCTTCGTCGGCCCTCGTATTAACCCTAGCACTAAATTCGCCACGCCGGCTACTCTTTGGAAATTCTGGTCCTCACGAGCCTGTTTGGGGTTTTGGCGTACCGTTTCTACAATCCACGTGGCTACTGAAAGGTCTCCAGTCATGGTCGCGAATTCTTGGTCAAACCCCTGTTGCAAAACAGATCCCAACAAAATCAAAGATAGCGGGAAACAAATTAAATACGCCTTAGGCATCGGATTGTAACGGGTTTGAGAATGCATTGGTGAAGTAGGCATACCATACGTGTTGGCACCTGGAGCGGGTTCATGGTGCACCGCGCATAGTCCGAGGTCTTCTTGGTCGTCTGGTGCAACTTCTTGGAGGCTAGGACGCCGCACCCGCGCGGCTGATGCACTGAGCGGTGCATCCAACTGACCGTGCCCGAATACCCCAGCATTAGCCTCCCGACTCTCCCGTGCTTTTATCAACTTTGAAGTCCAACCGTCCGACGCTGGGGTTGTTCATGGGACGTCCCGTGCACCGACTACCACCCTATCAACATATAGGAGCTGCACCAAGTTGTTTGCACACATATTAGAAATGATAATACACAAGTACACTTATTCATGTTTTCAAACAAGTACTTTACTTACAGTTAAAAAGAGTAATGGGCCTGGGAATTTTCGAGTGGTGTCCTGGGAACAACTAGCTAGCATGGGTGCTAACCAAGGAGCGCAAGAGATTGCCACATCAATCCAAGTTCCTGATCTTCGTAACGTCCCGAAACATGTGGACAGTCCTTTGGTTCGCATAACCGTTGAGGGTGCTTACAACCACGCAAAAATGCCATTTGAACCACATCCCGCTATCTTTGAGATTTAATAGCTGCGTGGTAAGGGCCTTGACCGTGAATTTAGCTTTTCATTGATTTACCTTGTTCCTCCATGCCCGCAACTCGGGTCCAACAACATGGCTATTGCGCTCGAAAATCGGAACAATTCCATTTGGGAGTCCAAGCACAGCTGCGACATCCTGCTTTGTGATGAACTTGTTCCTCCATGCCCGCAACTCGGGTCCAACAACCTTGCTATTGCTCTCAGAAATTGGACCAGTTTCGTTTGGGAGTCCGAGCACAGCTGCGACATCCTCCTTTGTGATGAAGATGGAACTCCCGTTGCTCAACTTTAGCGACATTCCCGAAGGGTCAAAGTTGGACACCAACCAATGGCCAAGACGTAGAGGTAATTCAGTAAACAGGAAGCCCAGAAGTCCCCCCATACAGATAGTACTAACATCTTGCCTCTGTTGTAGCGTACGTGAGGCCATGAGGCGTACGAGTTCCCTTGGCATCCCTCATGTCTTGATTTGGGGGAACGGGGATGCATTGGTTCCACATTCTCCAACTCGTCGGGATCACGTGGTGGGGTGTGGAAATCCTCATCCGAATCACTCCCCCATCACTTAAAACCACCGGTTGTTGTGCATCACGACCTGGGGCAAACAAAGAGACACACCGTATTTGATGAGTGCAAATGAAGCTTAAACAAGGCGTAGAATTGCAGGTCATGGTAAATGTAGCAAGAGACAGAAATTAAGAGGCTATGTTGCATGATATGATAGCCAATTCATGCAGTGAACTTCACATTAAACAAAGTAGACTCCCTCCACAGATTTTTTTCATATGTAAGGGAGTGTGCACTACTTCCTATTTAGTGCATTCCAATATCTCATAAATAAACCTGTTGGAAATAGACAGTCATATTTACTCTACTCTAGGAAGTTGTAGCTTTGAGAAGAGGAGTAGTTTTCCAGCATTTATCATGCCCTTTCATATGCCTTTCTATGCCTATATATATGGTTGTAATTTGGAGAACTTGAAACAGATACAATGAAATAAAGTATCATTTCTTCCTTTTCCCTCTACTATTTTAACATGGTATCAGAGCCACCTTGAAAACTTTTTCAGATGAACACAGTGAACTGTGTTCTTAACCACTGCTACTGCCTCTTTCTATATTATTCAATACTGGGAGCTTTGTTCACAAAGGTGGTACCACAACCCTCCAACAAGGACTCAGGCGACCTTGCCCATCTTTTCCGGCCGCCCATCGTCAACTCACGCGCTCTCACGTGCCACCTCGAAGGCAGACCTCCGACGCCACGCGCCGGCGCGTGACACTTATTCCGGCGACTTTTTCTGGCCAAAATTTCTAGATCAGATTGTTTCTTTCCTGCGACCCTACCGGTGTTTTTCTCATATTTTTCCGATGATTATGGCAGAACACAAAATTCTGGACAGTGCATTAAAAATTTCCAGTACCACTGTCTCTCATACTGCCCTTACATTAAGATCTGAATCAGTTTGGGTCTTGGATTTTGGAGCCACTGATCACATCTCTAATAACCCTTCGTTTTTCTCTCATATTAATTTCTCAGACTCTCTTCCTGCTGTTACTTTCGGTGATGGATCAAAAGGAAAGGCTATAGGAATTGGAAAAGTCATCATTTATTCTTTATCTTTATCAAATGTCCTTTACATTCCCGGTTGACCCTTCAACTTGATCTCAGTTAATCAACTTACTCATTCTCTGAATTGTCTAGTTACCTTTTCCTCTGATTCTGTAATTATTTAGAACCGTCAAACAAAGGAGACAATTGGTGTAGGAAACGAGGTCTCTACCACCTTTTATATCCTACCAATACCAAAATAGCCTGCACTGCAACTGTTTCACCTCTCCTTAACCATTGTCGCTTAGGACATCCTGATCTCAATAAACTAAAACAACTTGTTCCAAGTTTGTCAAGTCTAAAAGCCATAGAGTGTGAATCATGTCAACTTGGGAAACACTCAAGAGCCTCATATTCTAGTAGAGTGAATAGGAGATCTACTACCCCATTCTCTCTAGTTCACTCCGATGTTTGGGGACCATGTCGGGTTTCATCTATTTTGGGATTCTCATATTTTGTTGTCTTCATTGATGATTTCTCTCGGTGCACTTGGGTCTTTTTAATGAAAAACCATTTTGAATTATTTGATGTATTTCAGTAATTCTACAATGAAATTGTGAATCAATTTGGGGTATCTCTCAAAATCTTACGAAGTGATAATGCAAGAGAGTATTTTTCTGACTCTTTCACTTCTTTCTTTTCATCACATGGAATACTTCATGAATCTTCATGTATTAGAACTCCTCAGCAAAATGGAGTTGCTGAACGAAAAATTCGGCATCTTGTTGAAACAACCCGTACTTTGCTCATTCATAACAAGGTTCCTAAGAATTTTTGGGGGCATGCTATACTTCACTCTTGCTATCTTATAAATCGGATGCCTTCTTCTGTTTTGCAAGGAAAAATTCCTCTTCACGTCTTGCGCCCACAGGAGCTACTCCATAAGCTCCCATTACGGATCTTTGGGAGCACTTGTTTCGTTCATGACTCTTCCCCAGGACGTGACAAACTTGATGCTAAGGCAA